TTTGTTTCTATCAGCATAAAAAATAAAGAGGGAGATAGTATAGGGGTGTCAACATTTCCACAAAAAGAGATATTCCCTGTAAATAAAAACACTCTTTTGTTAATCACCTGCTACTTTTTTGGCAGACAAGAAAATGGAGAATTGGTATGATGGGTTAATTAACTAGTTCCTCATCTGCTTTTCAGTTTAAATCAGATCGAAATCACAAGTCAGAGTTACGTAACCGAAAGCTGGAGCAGAATAGCTTGATTTACATTCACAACTTTGGAATGTTCCTTTTTCAGAAAATTTGAGTGGAGACTTTTTTTGGCACAAGGTCTCACCCTCATGATTGCATTTTTCTAGTCTAATGAAGTTTTATGAACTGGAAAACAGGAAGATTGACAGATGGAGACATTTCCCAGATAAATATTATGCTCCATTCTGTTTGTTATTCCTATCACCCTATTTGGAACAATTTAGCAGTCTCTGCTCCAGAGAAATAATCCTAGAATAGCAGTCAGGTTTGAAAGGCATTGGGGAGGTTTGCAGAGCACCTGCTACTGTGCATGTCTGGCTCAAAACTGCTAATTTTTGTTCCCTCATTTCCACAGCACTAAATTCAATCAGTATTTTAAGCGACAAAAGAAGCAAGAGCAACACTCTGTGGATGTTCACTAGTGATTTCACAAATGAAGATCAACTACAGAGTGTTTGGTTATTGAAAAGGGCAGTGTATTATTAAAACATATAAAGATATAATAGAAGGAGTTCATGAGACAAATGTTGAATGAACTAAGTAGTAGGCAGGTGCATGAAGACTGCTTCCAAAATTGTCCAGTTTCAGGCCAATATTCTGTACAAAAGATGTCACAAGAGACGGCTCTGATAAAAACAGCAAGGCCTAATTACTTGCAGCTGTCTGGAGCGCAGGATCATCACAGAGGCCTAGATGACCTATAAAAATGATATATTTGGGAGAAGATACAAAGGGGATTAGGAGAAGGAGGGGTCAGAGACAGCCAAGGACACAGTTAGGAGCCTCCCCAGGTTATCAAAGGTTGAGCATGCCCAGGAAAGCTTAAGCCAGCCAGGCCAGCCTTATGTGGGTGGACGCAAGACTCCAGGTATGAGGAAGTGCCCTGGGAGTTGCAGGTGAACGTAAATTATGACTTCTTTAAATCACTCTTGACCAGAGCAAAGCAGCCAGAAAACCCAGGAGAGCTAGAGAGAGAGCTTGGAGAGTCTGGGGACTATCTTAAAAGATGTAAATGAGGATGCAAAGTTTAAAATACCAGGGGGGGGAAAAAAGATTTTTTCTAAAGAAATAAAAGTAGGGACTGAACCCTTTCCCTTGATATCTCAAAGGGATATGTGACCTCATACGATTCCCAGTGCAGACCAGTGCCTAACAAGGCCCTTCAGTTTAACCCAGGTCAACTGAAGTGATGTGCTTTTATGCTGGGTGATTGATTCTTGTTAAGGGAGGACATTCTTGCTGTCTCACGGTGGTGTCACGTGAAGCACACCACCCAACTGACCCTGCATTTGAGAGAGAGTAAAGACAGCTTTAAAACTGAAACAAAATTCCCTTCAGTCCACATAAGAGATAACGCAGTAACTCAGACATTTGCAAGAGGGAAATGTTTAGGGCTGAATGTTTCTTTGTCTGCTCCTATAAGTCCCTCATCAAAAAGGAGTTCCATGCAGTCCCTGAAGGAAGGACAATAGGATCATGTTAGCCTGACCCATATGGTAGGGGCTTAGTTTGAGATTCAGGAGATCTGGGTGCAATTCTTCCATTCTGCCAGTGGCTTGCATTGGGACCTTGGCCAAAGCAGTTAGTTGTATAGCTCTGAAATGTCTTCTGCTACCTGTCAAATACAGAAGGTACCTACTTACTTCCTGCAGATACTGTTGAGCTTTTTGGAAAAGCTCATCCACACTTGTGCTCCTCCATACCACCCCACCTAGTAAAACTCTCTAACTTAAACTGAGATTTAGTGCTGTTAACTTAAATGTTTGTCTTAATCCTGCAGCCACACAGCACAATATTTTATTGGTCGTATTTGTTGCTTGCGTATTTATCAAAAGGTTTAGAAGCAATGGCATCAATTTTGTGTTGCTTTTTAGACTTCACCAAGCATCAGAAGTTTTCCAGTCCTTCTACACAATTTAAGAGGTAGTTAAGTAGATATCTATTTTTAAAACAAACAGGCCTGGCTGGGGATGTAGCCCAGCCTGCAGGGGGAGGGAACTGCTCCCGCCCAGGCAAACCTCGGCTGGGGTCTGGGGCCAGGGAGGGGGTTAAACCTCCCTTGTCCGACTCAAACTTACTGCTGGCTGCAGCTGTGGACTCCAAATCCCCGAGGCACCTGGAAACAGGATGAGGACATGATGAGCAACCCTGCAGAGTCCTGGTGCTATGATTTTGGACTGTAAATCCCAGAGACCTTGGGGGCAGCAGAAAGAAGAAGTGAACACACAGCCAATGCTGGCTACATACCAAAGAGTCATGCTGAAGCACCTCTGGCTTCTCGCCTGAGCTAGTGCAGGCATGTGGCTGCATTTGCTGAATCAAAGGTAAATGTCTGTTCACTTCTGTTTCAATTTAATCTGTGTATCCTAATTAAATCTGTGCAGACTAACCTGCAAAGACTGAATTGATTCAGCCTCAGGCTTTTTGACTGTCTGTACTTAGCCCAATAGGCTACACTCTGCTGAGGTAACCACAGTGGTCTTCACACAAATGGCTGGCTCCTGGCATGTACATCAAATGCATGTAGCTATGAAAAGAATCAAAGCCATTCCCATTGGAACTGATTTCTACAGGAGCAGGTTTGTACCTAAGGTGCTTTGCAGCCTTCACTTGCTGCCTGCCCCATACCTTACAAATGTGGCTGAAACCCCACAGAAGGGAAGAACAGCAGTAACAACTTCAGGATGCCTGCTGCCTGAGGAGGACTATTCGAATGCCCCTGGTGCAGCAAACACTATATACCAGCAGTGCAAAATCTACAGCCTGTTGGCTGGATCTGGCCCCTAAGGTGACTAGATGCAGCTCACAGCATAAGTAATCAGCAGCAAGCAGTTTGGCCTGGTGTGTCCCCTTTTCTACCCTGCACTGTTCTGCTGATCCCCTCAGCAGCCTTTCCTGCTTTGCTTTCTTCCTCTCCCCGTCCGCTCCCCCTGACATCGGCACCTCCCTGGCTTCTCTCTTCTTCCCTACTTCCTGCACCAGGGTAGTGACCTGCAGTGCAGCTGGATCACAGTGACCTGGCCCACTATAAAAGGTTGAGTATCACTGCTATACACCTTTTAGAAGGAGTATGGCTCCCTCAAACACCAGACTTAGATCCCTGGCTGGTTGGGGAAGGAGGG